TTACGTCACTAACCTCACTGTCCACATAGACCTCAGCATTCCTTTTATCTTTACAATTAATTAAGGTTTTTAGTTGAGATGAAAAATAGTTAATTGCACGAGAGGGATTCGAACCCACGAGCTTCGGCTAGATACGCCGCTGCTCTACCACCTGAGTTATCGTGACCTCGATCCACTCGGGCATCAACTCCCCATCTCAACCCCACCTTATGAGTTTTCCCTCCTTTTGCCATTTTTCAAATGGGGGTTGAGATGGGGAGTTGATGTCCGAGTGGATCGAGGTCACGATAGTTCAAGTGGTAGAGCAGCGGCGTATCTAGCCGAAGGTCGTGGGTTCGAATCCCTCTCGTGCCATTAACTTTTTTTTATCTCAACTAAAAACCTTAATTAATTGTAAAGTATTAATTGGTCACGCGGACCACGAAAATAGTGAATTAATTTTATCAACGAACTGATCCGGTCCTGATTCCAAACCTTCCACACCAACCTTTTAGACCATCCTAACAATACTGCTCGAGCTCTCTCCACTATTCCCATCCTGACTACCCGCCACGTCGCCTCAACCGACGGTTGCTTCGAGACATCCTTGAAATTTAATCATACACATTGAGTTCCACCTGGCTCCTCAAATGATATGTTCTAATGGCATTAGTGCTACTGTGTGATGCATTAATCAGTGTACATATTCCTATAGAAAACATCATGTATAAGCAACAAATAAACTTTAAGTTAAATAAAAAAATAATCACTATAAAAACAATGTTATAAAATTTCTCAGGAATAATTGTTATAACACTTTTTTTCCCCAGTGGGTTCATCCAGTATCCTTTACGTTAGGTCTCGGTTTGGAAGCGAAAAGAGGGCTCGTTGTACGGCTCAGATATTATCACGACAGGGTGATTTACAGAACGTGGGTGATAGCCGCACCATTCCTCTGCCTAAATTATAGCCCCACTCGTTCCCGTTATTACGGTCGAAAACTCTTAAATGCTAAAAATGTGCGGGAACGGCGCTTCTTATAGAAACAATTCCTCGTCCCTCTCTCCTAATAAACAATTATTAAATTTATTTTATAACTTTTATGTTATATTGTAATATTAAATAAGAGTTGGAAAGAAAATGCTAAGTTTGTCCATGTAACATAAAAGAAATATATGCCTTTCATCATGACTATAAAACAATTTATTTGTGATGGTATTTGTGCTGTTATGTTGCAAGGTGATTTGGGCATTTATGTTGTTTTGGAGTTAGAAGGTTTATAGCGGTTTCTATTTTTGTGTACGGCTTTGTTCGGTGATGGATTTATGAAGTGTATGTGTCCTTAATTTGCTTAATAGGCTTTGTTTATTGTGCTGGTTGGTCTGTTTACTAGTATTATTTTTTATACTCTGTTATATTTAGTTTTCTATTTTTGTTGTTCTATTTATATTTGCTATACAATTTGTGTATTTACATTATTATAATATAAAGTACCTGAGTAGATCGAGGACACGATATCTCAATTGGTAGAGAACCGGCGTATCTAGCCGAAGATCGTGGGTTCGAATCCCGCTCGTGACAGTGACTTAAATCTCAATTAAAAAGTTTAATTAATTGAAAGATATTAATTGGTCAAGTGGATCAAGAAAACTAGTGAATTTAATAAGTTAAAATGAAGTATATCTTCACTAAAGCTCTCCGTGACCATTTCATTTGTCGCCAAGAATCAAATGGATTATACGACATTTAAAAAATGGCAAAGAAAGGGAAGGTTCAAAAAGGTGGGGTTGAAATGGGAAGTTAGTGTCCGAGTGGATCGAGGTCACTATAGCTCAAGTGGTAGAGCAGCGGCGTATTTAGCCGAAGATCGTGGGTGCGAATCCCGCTCATGACACTGACTTTTTTATCTCAACTTTAATTAATTGAAAGATATTAATTGGCCAAGAGGACCACGAAAACTAGTGAATTATAATATAAATTTAGCTTTTTACGTTAATTATTACTTGGAGATAGTGAGATGCGGTCTGGTGTGACGTAGGTTTTAGAAAAACATTTTCTTTGTCATGCCAACGTTTCAATCTGTGTTGAGATCATCTTCAGGGCTCAAAGTGTTTGTTTTCTGCGTAATTGTGTCATTATTGTGTGTCGTTGGCACTCTCAACACGACACATGGATAACACAATTACGCAGAAAACAAACACTTCGAGCCCTGAAGATGATCTCAATAAAGATCGAAACGTTGGCACGACGAAGAAAATGTTTTTCCAAAATCTACGTCACATTAGACCACATCTCACAATGTCCAAATAAGCATTACCTAACGGTCACTAAACACCGCACATTTTTACGTGAACTTCTTCCTTTTGATATTTAATCAATATTCATCAAATTATTTAGTTATATATAAAAAATCATTAATAAGGCTTTTTTAAATTGACTTTTACATCTGCATCCGTTTGATGCCATAAGCAAAACAGATAAAATATTACATGTCATTAGCGTGTACACAAGAGCGGTAATCATCCAGTGATGAAAGCCTAGTCCATCAACATGATGAGTTGATCCTATGAAGGCGAAGAAAGATTGTCACGCGACCGCCACTAGCGTAGGAGGTAGGTAGTGGATTAGAGGTTTTTGACAAGGGGATTAGGATGATAAGGTAGTTTAGAATGGAACATTTGTAGCGGTATAACGCCAAGAGTCAAGTAGAACATTATGTAGGTCGTTATATGTTGTGTGGATATAAACATGACGGTTGTTCTGAGAATGTGGATTGAATGAGTTGGATTCGATTGATGTTATAACGCTTTCCGGTCTCCTAGAATTCATGTCCGTATGCCCAAATTAGGGGAGGGAGGGGGGTTACGGACAGTTGCATGTCAGACGTTTGTCCAGGTACAATCCGAGGGATGGTTCCCAACTGTTTATTGAATTTACTAGTTTTCGTGGTCCAATTAATATCTTTCAATTAATTAAGGATTTCATTTGTCGCCGAGAATCAAATAGATTAGACGACATTTGAAAAATGGCATAAAAGGAGGGAAAATTCAAAAGGTAGGGTTGAGATGGGAAGTTAGTGACCGAGTGGATCGAGGTCAAGTATCTAGCCGAAGATCGTGGGTCCCCCTGACACTGACTTTTTTTATCTCAACTACAAACGTTAATTAATTGAACTGTTTATTGAGTTAAAGTGGTGGTAGTGTTTTCTTATTTAATGGAAACACTATCGATATGTTTACTTTAAAAAATAAAACCAAAGGCGTTTTTGAAAAGGCAAGAAGAGGCAATTTTTTTGCAGTCAAGTTTTCAAGGTTTTTTTCCCATTTTTTTTCATTCTGCCAAATTCGTGTTAGGCCCGATATTTATATATTTGAAATTATTGTTAAAATTATAGCTTTTAATGTTATAAATTGAAATATTTTGTTAACGATTTTAAATATTAGAAATAGTTTCAAAGTCTTGATAAAAGAATTCTACTTCTAGATTACTTGTGGAACATACCTAGATGTGTGGTTTCCTGGAAAGACCGATGGTAATCCCGAGAACCGCTAACCGAATAGAAGGAAATAGACTGGGTGATAGAGAAAAGTGATGGGGGACAATTTAAGTCCTGGTTGTTTTTATGAGCCCATTCGTTTATGGAATTCGGATCTTTCTAAATTCTGCGAATCGTCAATGTAGATCCGAGGGATGGATGTAATTATAAATTTGGCAGGCTTCGGGATAGAGGTGGTAATCGGAATGCTGAATGAAGATCATTGTTGCAGGGGAACAATGGAAAAATCAGTTCCAGGTATAACATCCTCTTGGTTGAATTTAATAGTCGGGAAAAATTTTCAACTGAGTTCTTGCAATAAAATTCTTATTTATATACGAAATTTAAAACTGAAGTCTGGGCAGAAGTTGATACGGCTCTTCAGTGAGCTCATTGCTCACAGGATACCGTTGCTCCTTTTCTTTAACGTTTGAATGCCCTTCGAGGCGTGATTTATGCTTACGGGCATATCACATGTAAATGATTGTGCATTAAAATGATATTAAAAAAAACTCTCCAGTTTTCGTGGTCCGCTTGACCAATTAATATATTTCAATTAATTAAGGTTTTTAGTTGAGATAAAAAAGTAAGTGTCCCGAGCGGAATTCGAACCCACGATCTTCGGCTAGATACGGCGCTGCTCTACCACTTGAGCTATCCACTCGTGCACTAACTTCCCATCTCAACCCCACCTTTTTGAATTTTCCCTCCTTTTTGCCATTTTTCAAATGTCGTGTGATCTGTTTGATTCTCAGCGACAAATGAATGAATGATTGAAAAATTAAATAAAATGTGACCAATGAGTTACTTATTGCAAAGAAGAGGAAAGAGAATATTTTCTTATCATTAAAATTTAGTTTAAGTAATAAAGTTTAAATTCTTTTTAATATGCTTTTCTTCAAGACAAGATGCAAACAATAATGTACTGAACCTTATTACAATAGGCACCAGCCGACTAAGACGAACAGTCCAACACCAACTGTTTTTGAGTCTCAATCAGGTCACACGATTTTTTTTTACTTTTGTTTTTCTAACATTTAAAGCGACTGACAAGCACATCCGATCCAGCATGGCTCGGCTCTACGTTTAGGCTTCCGCCGTCCTCCTCTTGTGCCTTCTCAATCCTCGGAACTCACAGCCTTCTTTATGTTGTGCATGGCGCTTTGGCGGCCATTACGAAATGGCTTGTCATACGTATAATAACTTTCACGCACATAAATACACAAATTAAGGATATAATTTCAACCTCCGTAGGATTTCCTATATGCGACCATGTACGACTTTACTCTAGGTATCGAATCAATTTCTTAATTATAAACTCTACTCTCCATTAAAAGTTGTTTAAAATCTGCAGGCATGCCACCCCTTATTCACTGAGACGCTTATATGTTTGTCAAACAGGATTGCACTCGGTTCATTTACGGAACCTGGTGCTTCCTATGTTTGAAAAAAATTTTTAATAATGTCTTTTTTTTCTTTGTTTCAGTGAAAAAGGCCAGATACACCGGAGGGCAAGGTTAGTATTTCTCATGATTTTATACCACTTTGGCCCGTTTATACATAATTTGGTTATGAGAAAAATGGAATTGTTTCGGTTAGCTTTCTCTGTACTTTTTTTAACGATCTGTTATATATTATTAAATTAATTTTCTAAGTTACAATAGATTTTACGTAACTTTAAATAGTAACTTCAAGTTATATGTAAAAAAGCAAAGCATTGATATTTTTTGTAATATTTAAAATTTTATAATAATGTCAAATTAACATGTAACTGAAAGTGCACTATATTTGTTATGTGTAATGAGTAGTGATCGTTAGTCGATAATTATTCAGGATCGTGAGATGCGGTCTGGTGTGATGTAGAATTCAGAAAAACATTTTCTTTATCGTGCCAACGTTTCGATCTTTATTGAGATCATCTTCAGGGCCTGGGATTTACAAACATTGTTTAAATTTAACAAATACATGTAGGATGTGGAAAAAAGTGAATTTATACAATGCAAAAAATATTTTTTATATTCAATCAAAGTATTTCTACTCACCCAAAGTGTTTGTTTTCTGCGTACGCGTTGATTGAATATAAAAAATATTTTTTGCATTGTATAAATTCATTTTTTTCCACATCCTACATGTTTTGTTAAATGTAAACAATGTTTGTAAATCCCAGGCCCTGAAGATGATCTCAATAAAGATCGAAACGTTGGCACCATAAAGAAAATGTTTTTCTGAAACCTACATCACACCGGACCGCATCTCACGATTTCTGAATAATTATACCTGTTATATTTTATGTGTAATAAAAAAATAAAAAAGGCACAAGTATATTTCTTCATATGAAGCAAATATTATGTAAATAATACATAAACAAGCCAAATAATTATGTAAAAAAATAAATTATGTAGGTTTAAACAATTAGGAGGAGATCAACCCACTTGAGGACACATTGATTTTTCGATAGTGTTGAAAAAAGATAGTCATACTTGCGAAAATAGTTGCTACGAACTGGAGGGTCAAAAGGGTATAAGTTCCTACGACCCTATCCCTATTGATCCAGGGCTCAGCAGCAAGGCTCCGTACGGGACCAGGAGAAAAACGTTTAGATTTCGTAATATGGCCCGGTATTTCGGCCAGACCGCGGAATATCGGATGGAATTGAGATGCAACGAAAACAAGGCCTACGAACCCTTAACAAACATATTACCGTATTACGAATAAACATCCTATATCAGAAATAAATTACATGTAATAGATTAATGAAGAATAGAAGTTAGATTAAAATATTTTCCAAAGCATTATGCATGACACGACGATCTGTTGTATCCACTCAAAAGAATGTGAAGCTTAATTTTATAGATCTTTTATTGTACTTTATGTTTAGTTTTTGGTTTTATTGCGTGAGTTTAGTATTTTTTTATTGCTTATAATATTTTTGGTTTTGATTTTATAGTCTTTAAATCTACTATTCCTAGTTCATTTATTAAGGTTATTGTATTAAATGTTTTCCTTGGGGTGTTTTCCTCGTTTCCGGTTGGTTTCAGATCCATTATTCGACCGGTGTCATTCCCATGACTCTTTCTTCGTACACGCTTTATTGTTGTTGGATTTGTTGTTCTGTTGTTTGTCTTCGTTGATACGTTCATAAGCGGTGTTCTTTTCAGGTCTTGAAAAACTTTGTGGTGTTTTTCTGTACGTGAACTGGGCGATTATTTATTTCGTTTGATAATAGCATAAGTAACTTTTAAACAATGGTTTGTGTTTCATTTCATCGTGACATTTTAATCTAAAGGGACAAACTGAAAAGCTTGTTTTGCATTAATGAATACATAGTTTGATTATATTAACATTTAAAATCTTATGTAAGCAAACATAAACACAGCGAATTGTCTGGGTCATGATGGTTTACATTAATTTGCTTTGCATGGTATATTTCATTTTTTATATTGTAGTGCCTTTTTACACATGGCCACCGTAAGAGCTAGTTTTTGAGCTCTGCGGTAGTTTTAATTTTTTCTTATTTGTTTCATGCCTTCTCAACTTTTCCTCGCTTTTCTTGTAGTCAACAATGATACAGTTCTATAAATGTGTTTCTTTAAAAATGATCGTTTTCCTCATTTTTTTAAGATTTATTATGTTCTTAGTTTTTATTTACATTTTCATTTTTTTTATTACATTTATTTAAAATTTACAAGTACAAATATGGTATAAAGTATATATATTTTCATACATGCTGAATTTTATTTTTGCAGTTTTTTTCTGATTAATTATGATAGTATAATTTAGTTTTTGTGATTTTACAAGTATAAAGTAATGTTTTACTTTTAATATTTTTTCCATACTATTGACGAATACTTTGTATTTTATAGTCGTTTTTAGTTTCCATTGTTCTTTTTATGTTTTTACGTTTTTCGAGGTTGTTTTCGTACTTTTCCGTATTTTCCAAGAGTTGGTTCAAAATCGATGGTGTTTACCAGAGGTCTTCAAAGACCGTAGGGAATATTTCCTAATTAGTAATTTACTTATTTTATTTGTGCAAGTTTTTTTTAAGAATTAAGAACTTTTTAGAACTTTGTTTGCGTTTTATTTAAGCCGGATATTTTAATCTCAAGTAACTAGTCCGATACGGATTCAATTTCTATTCAATTAGCAGTACTCTCATATTTTCCTCATATTTTGTGTTGAAGTACTACCTGGAAAATGTGTACTTAGAAGAAGCATTGCTTTTTGGTTTACATCTTCTGTTCAGCGGCCCTCTGCATTCTTTAGGGCAGTATTTATGTCAACTCTTTCTTTTGCTAGTACTTCATGTAATCTTCTAAAGATTTCTCCGCACAATTTGTGAAAGTTTTCTCTATTCGCCCAGCGTATAGTGTGGCTATAGGTTAGTTATAAAGTGCTCTATAGTTAGTTATGAAGTGAGTAACCTTTTGTATTCTCCCTACTTGCCTGTTAGTTTTACTTTGTTGGATGCTCTTCTGGTTTCAGTTCTTAGTTTGCCAAGTTCTTTGTTCCTCTAGGGTGGTTCTTGTCCTATTTTGGGTTGCTTCACAGGCAGCTTGACTCATATGCATAATTTAATTATACTTCCTGTGAGTTCTGCAACTGTAAGTTGTAATTCATTGCAGGTTGGTGTTCTTTTCGCTGTTGCTTGGTTTGAAGTGTGATGTACTATCTCAATGAAACTTGCCCAGTTAGTGTTTCAAGGGCACTATATGGTGTAGGGTCTATCCTTTCTCTTTCAATGTCAAACCTTATTATTCTATGGTCTAACATTGATTCTTCACCAGAAACCGCGCAATTCCGTATACATTGTGTAGGGCATAGCTGCAAATGGTAATGTCCAATACCTCTCGTCTCGCTTTGGTGACAATGGTGGGGGTTGACCCTGAGCTAAGAATTTCTGATTTTTCCTTCACCAAAAATTCTATGAGTGACTCACCTCGCTTGTTGTTGTTGTTGCTTAAGGATATGCGTTACCGTCACATCCTACCAGTAGAGGGAGGTTTCTTGGGGAGGGTGGTTCTCCTCTTTTGGGATGTAGGGCGATGCTTCAATTTTTTTCCCATCCATTGTTATCTACATTTTGATGGGAACTAGATCTCTGGACATGAATTCTGCAAGACAGAAATAATTAGTGTTTTCCCGATTAGTATGCAAGCACGGGGATTTTCCTGTCTGGGATCCTAATACAACCTTACCGTCATTGCTGGACAAACCTCTGATTTGTCTTTCTACTGCCAGGGTTTTTGCATGATAATTGCCCATTGATGTTGTGCGGTGAACATCCTAGCAACTTGGATGTTCACCGGAGCCTTCTCATTTTCTCCATGCTTGTTTATTCTATTGGGGGAGAAGGAGGTATCTCCTCACCAATACCTGAGACAGGAGCAATGTTCATCCACCCATCAAGTAAAAGGGCTAGAGAGCCATCTCTAACCCCAAAAGAACTCATACGAGAAAAGGAAGTGAGGCCATCCAACCCCAGGTTAAGCATAGGAAGAAATCGTTGCTCTGGATTCTTGAGCTTGGCTGAAGAGGAGTGGCTGGGTTCAGAGGAGGACTTGATCGATCTCCATCTCAACATTACCTGTGAAGTAGTCTCCATAGGTGGTGGCATCACTACAGAAGCTTGCTCCTATTGAATGGATGGAATGTGTGGGGTGATCGGGGTGGATGTGTGGGATTTCTCCCTTTTTGTATCCTCTCCTCTCCTTCTTTCAATTTTATAGTTATCCTCCCGAAACGACAATTGAGAGTGTCCACTTTTTATTACCGTTTCTGCGGAAACTTCTTCTATGCCCAGGATTATGACAATCCCAAGCACCTCCGCATTTGTTGTGTGTTCTTTCCACTCCTCTGGGTTTTCTGTTCTTCTCCAAGTTTTGCCCTAGGAAAGAACACTGCAATCGACTGAGGTCTAAGCACGTCCTCTCCGACACTGACTACTAATTCATTTCCTCTGTTACGTTCCAATTTGGAAGTTATCTTCTGTAGCCAATATTTAGTTTTGCCATCATGGCAGTCGAGACCGTCATCACTAGCCTGAAGTGTATTCCTTCAAATTGTATTTTGGCTTCCCATCTTTCGCGATTTCATCGATGAGTTAATTCTTCTGTAGTCAGTGTTACAATAGGGTGTTCCTCTGATTGCACAGCCACCATTATAATTTTTGTTGGTCCAGCGGTGATGCTTGGAGAAAAGACTTTCTCCCTATGCTTAACCTGGGGTTGGATGGCCTCACTTCCTTTTCTCGTATGAGTTCTTTTGAGGTTAGAGATGGCTCTCTAGCCCTTTTACTGAATGGGTGGATGAATATTGCACTTGTTTCTAGTTTTTCTTTTTGGATTTTGGCCTTCTTATCATCGACCATCTTTCTTGCTTCCTTGGGCGTTTTTCCCGATCATATCTCCCCCAGGTAGCACTCCTTAAACCTTGCCTGAGAGGATCGACTTATCCGCCTGGCTCTCCTGCGAAAACATTTTTCTACCCTTTTAGTTTCCAAAGAGAGGGTCTTTTTGA